TATCTATACTTGCTGGATTCCCCAAACATTCAGCTTTCATATGAATATATTGGATTCATTCTATATATTATAGTTTTCGAGTAAATCCCCTTAGACTAGTCCACGCCTCACAGTTTGGAAAACGCTGCATTAAAAAATGTATCAGCCTATGCAAGATAAAATTAAGAGTCATTTGTTTCTAGCGTATACATATTGAAAATATAAATAATTATTATGACAGGTTTCTTGCTCTAAGTACAGTAGAACTTTGCTTAACGAGTTTAATGTTCCAAAATTTCAGGATTTTTACTCGTATAGTGTAACATATTAAAAAATACACAAGTTTTAAAAATGATGTAGTAGGCGCGCAATCCGAGACTTCTCTTCTCATCGTCACTCGTAATGCGAAACATTTTTCTCATTTTGCTCGTTATGCGAGGTTAAACTGTATATGAATTCATAATAAGAGCAGATTGTGTTTAGAGTTGCGTTTTGTTCAATTTACTTATTTTGGTTTTGGATGTTGTGTAGTATTCGCAGGCATCTTTGTTGGATGAGACAAGCCTGGCCTTCCTCTCCGGGGCGACCAACATGATGCGGCCCAGGGACCGATCGGAGTCACCTCCCCAGGATCACATGAGGTATGCCGAAACCTAGGCTCTCGTTATAGAACAACCCAGTTTCATTAGGCGATAAGTTTCCTGCGCAGGTCGCCGATGAACGGCGGATTGCACATCAAACAGGAGAGCATCATGGCCCCGGAGCACCATCATCGTGAACCAGAAGTGCATCATGTCATCAAACGCGAAATGCATTCCGAATACGACGAAATGGACCAGGATGCACACGCCGATGGGATTGCGGAGGACTTAACAATAGCCCAAGACCATAATGATTCGAATATCATCGACGCGTAGTGCGCGATTTAAATTCAATTTCACAGTTATTATATTTATACATATATACATATATATTACAATAGACATAAATCATTTGGATAAAACATATATATATGTATATATTTATATATACGATAAATGATATAAATTCAAGAAAAAAACACATTTTAGCGACAATTTGATCGATTAGTTTTAAGTAGCGGCATATCTGATGAACTGAATGATAGTTTGTGCATATGAACTATGAAAAAAAAAACAAAAAAAAAATTGTACAGTTGTGTGTATATAGAAATGTTACTGCGGATGGGAGTGTGTTTACGTACTGTTAATTGTTTAGACCCCAAGGAAGGAAAGATTGTCGGATGTTGTCTATAACCAATAGGTCCTTCGTTTTACTTATTTTATTATTATTTTTGTTTGTTCTTTACTATTATTATTATTATTTTTGAAATAATACACATACAGGGTTATTTGTTACGTCGTGGGTAATTTGCTCAAAACTGTTTCGTTCGTCACAGGCAATTTACGTCCGCTTCTTGTTATTATCGATGGAACTGTTTAGCGAAAGGAGCGGAGAGTACATTATTTTGAAGAAGAAGGAAAAAAAAACACACAAAAAGTAATGCATTTCTTCCCATGATCCAATTGTATCAGTCTTATAAGTTTTATTATTGTTTACTATAAATAGTTACGATTAGGAGGTATAATATATATATATATAAAAAATCGAGTGCGCTGAGACTTTCTTCGTCGACGTCGATTTGGACATGAGTGCATAACAGCTATGTAAAAGCTAAAGAGAATCCACATTATATCCCGGAAGGTGAAACGAGAATATATGTATAATATTTTATATATATGCGTATATAGGTATATTATATACGAGGAAGAAACTTTTAGTATTACTTATTTATATTGTATAAACAAAATATTGAATAATATTATTAATAATTATTATGATGGAAGATCGTGCTCACATAGTGATGTAAAAATAAGCAATATTGTAAATTTTCTCGTTGCTACTCTATCTTTTATCGGATACCAATTCCATATCAATATTTAAAAAATAATATAAAGATAAAAAAATCATATATATCAATGTATAAACTAAATAGTAGGTTATTATTATTATAACGAGGTAACGAAATTATTTATTTTTATTTTTCGTTCCGTATTCACAAGCATATTATTAATGGATATATAATATATATACATATATATTTAGACCTACCTAAAACCACCCGAAACCCCGCTCCCCTCTCGGAAGCAGCAACGAGGATTCGCTCTCCGAGGTATTTATTTCTCACCAATTCCTTCGTCGTATAGGAAAGGAAAGGGTGCGATTTTTTTTGTTTCTATTCTACAAAACAACTACTATTATTATTTTTTAAATTATTATTATTATATATGTATAAAAGAAGAAAAAGAAAAAGGAAACTTTTCATCATCGTCATTGTTGCCAAATACATTACATAAATACATACATTCGCATACATGTGATAGTACTTTAGTTCAAAACAATCTACTAGAAATCATAAATTTAGGTGTAAGCGTGGCATTGCATGAAGAGTATTATTTATTTTGCAATTACATTGTTATGAAATATTTAAAAAAAAAATAAATAAAAGAAGAAGAAGGAAGAACAATTCCGGGATGTGCGAAGGTAATACGGGCGGGACGCAGGGTCGTCGGAGGCGGCTGTAGTGATAGCAATGCCTACATATCACAGTAGCCCAAATGGCATAACTCTCGGCCTGAGCTCTGTACCCGCAGCTCTGCTCCTCGCTCGCCGCAATCTCGTTCGTTTTACAATCCATGTAAAATGTACTGTAAAATTTTCTCGTATATCAAATATCTGATTTGTTTTAATGATAATTATTACAATAAATAAAGCAATAACATTTCGTTTACTTTCTTTCAAAACCCATATTATTATAAATAACAATAAATGATTTATTAACAATATATTTTACATCACTTATTTATATACCTATTTTTTTAAATTTTCAGCTTGAACTTAACTTTTTCTATATTTAATTGATCATAATTTCTGCACGAAATTAATACATTAAATTTATTAGTAAATTTCAGACATTTCGTAGAATTCGTAAAAATTTTATATTGATTTTTGAAGCTTGAAATATAATAACTTATATATCAGGGGTGGCCAAACTGTGGCTAGAGAGCCGCATGCGGCTCTTCAAGAGTCTTGTTATGGCTAGTTGAGTCACAACAAAACACAATTATTGTATATAATTTATATTATGATTGAGATTTTTTAAAAATTATTATACCAAAAAGTGCGGCTCTTGCTGCAAAGTCTGGGTATTATATATTATTAGAAAATTCAAAAAAAATGTATATATCAAAAATATTACTAGCTTTTATTAGATATATTAATGCATATAATAAAATAAAAAGCTTTCTATACTTTCATTTAAAAATGATCAATTTATAAGCATTTTGCCAGATGAAATCTGTATGATTTAAAATTAGCTATATGTGTTTAAACAAGGTTTAGCAAGTAGGTAGATGAAGAGTCATGATCATGATAATTAACGAAAGCGGTTGGAATAATCATCAAACTTTCAAAAACTATTTTGATAAGAAATACGTGACGCCATCTTATGCCGAAGTACCAGACTATATTTGTATTACGTTAAAGATATCTACTACTACTTGATTAAAAGCATTAGAAGTTACGTGTCCTAAACACTGATATTTGCGTATTTTTCTAAGAAAAATCTCTATTGCTAAAATAATCTTTTTTTCTAAAAACTCAATTTGGTCTTACAAATTGATTTTCAAACTTTTTGGTCGGGAGGTCGCAAATTGCGTATTACATCAATATGGATAATAGCACA